TTCCACAAACCTTCCAAAGGTTCAACAGAGTCTCCATATCTGACAAGATGCTTATCCTACAAGACATATGGCATAGGATTAAAAGGGCTCATATCCTCCAGATGTAGAGATGCCCTATGTACAAGGGGCCATTAGATGGCAGAAGACCTGGCCCCTGCAGGCAGATAGCTGTTTCCCCCAAGACTGCATCTTCACACTGACAGCCTTCGGCAGAGCCCAAAAACTCTTTATAATAAGCAGCTCTGTCCCCCTTTCATATCACATGATTTCGGTTCACCTGGAACGAACAAAGAGCGTATACACAAAGACAAGCCGAAAATCAAGAAAAAAAAGACCCATGAGCCAGGCCTAGAAAGATATTCAGTGTTTTCAATCTCGGGGAGGGAGGAGAGGAAGAGGAGGGGGGCCTGTGTATCCCTTATCAAACTTTCATTGCTCCTTTTTTTAAACACAAGAGTTATTGTGGAGAGTTTTTTTAATGTCCCCTTTTTACTGTATGTAAGATTTCATTGTGCAGGCTTTTGGCCTAGCCCGGCTACGCCAATAAGGCAGGACAATGGAAGGTCTATATGCAAGCGGCCTGCCCTTAGGACAAAAGCCTGCGTTGTCTCTGAAAGGGGGAGGGAGGGAGCTCAGGTACTTGAGGGATGAAGAACATTGCAGAGCTGCTGGAAATCAAAATAAGCAAAATCTACAAAATTATCTAGGCACACCTCCTATATTTAAACCAAAGTCCCTGCAAAATGTCCAGCAAACTTGTCAGTAATGTCCATGTGATCTGGTGGCAGTAAATCAGGTCAGACTGATTGGATGCCAATGGCTGCAATTCAAAAATAAGCAAGTACTGACATTTCATCTTCTTCTCTTACTAAGCTTCTCCTTTGCTGTAAAAGTCTTTTGTGACTGCAGGAGGTTTTTAATTTAATTAAGGGCTCTCACAGTCACAGTCAATGAGACGACAATTGCTAGGTAGAAGTCTGATACACCACCAGATCAATCAGTCTGTTGAGCCTGTTTTTTTTTTATGTTCTTCACTAAAATGTAACTGTATTGACTCCACTTCTCCTGTCTTGCTGAGCTTTGGGACAATGGCATTTTGTATAAGTAGTTGTTAGTAATTTATGTACACATGTGACTTTATAACGTAGCTCCCCTGGGAAGACAGTTGCCAGTTAAAGTTCTTTTTTTTTCTAACACAAGAGCACCAACAATTGCACACTGTTCCAGCATTTGCTCATACGAGGACATGGGACCCTAAGGCTATGCATGACATCCTCTGTCTGTTTTCTCCTCCTACATAACATACCTACACAGACTCATCACACATCTGCAATCAAAGAGTATACTGCTCTGGCCTGGCACTATTTGACAAACGCAGAATAAACACAGGTAAAAAGACAAGAAGAAGTGCAACACTTTAAATGTTTCTTTAGCTTAAATCTAATGCAGCCAGAGAATAGTAGTACACACATCGGAGACAGTGGGCAAATATTTTGATGGTCCATAACAGTGTCAAAAGTCTCTAAACTTTTTATGTTTTTATACAGGTTGTGTTTTTGTAATATATAGTGGGTAGTGCCACCAAGGCAGAGAATAAGATCTGTGGATTAGTGAATCAGGTTTGGATTAGGAGTGAATAAAGAGCTGTTGTGAAAGCTGTAACTCTGGATTAGTTGTGGATACAGTTCAGCTGACGTGCAGTGGCAGTACTTTAGATATCACTGGGCTGCTACCAGTCTGAGCATTGCCTTGAGTTTTGCTCTTAGGTAAGCTATTGGACTACCACAATACATATTCATAGATATTTAGAGGGCAACTTTTCTAGATTACCAAAATATACATAAGGTGTATTGATTTTTCTTCAAATCTTAACAAAAAAATAAATGTATAATCTTTAAGCATCATACATATTGGATCAGAAACACAGTTTACCATATGTGCCTCCACAACAAGCCTTGAAATCATTAACATTTAACACATTTTTTTCAAGAAAGAGCTATGCAAGAAATTGTAATGCTTGCTTAAAAAAGTGGAGAATCTCATATTTTTTGTTTTCATTTTCTTGGCAGAAAAGGTACATCTCGCTCTTAGTCTCCACCCCTTCATTGGTGGCAGCCAATTAGAGAGGCCAAGGACTGTTTGAGAAAAGCTTTGCCTTAAATGCATGGGGAGAAGTGATCAGGGCAGCGAACAGAGCATCATTCAGATAGGAGAACAGAGCCTCTATTACTGACACAGCATCGAGCCAGCACACCTCCTACCACCAAGACTCAGTAGGTACGTTTTGCATTCCTACTTTTCCTGCTTCACCTCTCCCTCCTCTAGACACATTTTCTACTCTCTCTTTAAACCACTGTATATGCTTTTAAATCACAGCCTGCTTCAGAGTTGCTACTTATGCTTGTCATAATGTATTTAAATGATATGCTCTATTAGTATTGCTGTATTTATATGTTTACTTTGCTGCCATTGCATCTATATATTTTTAAAACTGTTTACTTCATTATTAAGAAAGCAGATTGGATACCTGGCCCTTCTAAATTTAGCTATTTCTTCCATTTACTTGATTATCTATATTTCAGCCAGCTTTGCCTAATTTACTAAATGTGATCACTCACTTTTTATTTATCATCAAGTTATTAATGTCATTTTAATTAATTTTCCATTTTGTGGTCCCAAGTGTAATTCGCTTCTAGTTTTCACTTTATTTTTGAGACAATTTGTAATTTGTTTAATTTTTTTTCATCTTTACTCTTTAAATTTCTTTCTTTATCAAAGCTGGAATTTTTATTTCTTTCTACTTCTTTTCCTCAATGCTAAATTCTTCCTTCCCTGTATATTAACAAGAATATATAATTTCTTTCAATCTTTTGTTGATTTTATCGACACATATAACCTTATTCTTAGGATTTGGAACAAGTGTATTTTGCTGTATATTACATAAATGAGGCTTTTGGATATAAAATGCCTGTAATATTTATCTTCCACCTTAGACATTACAGACAAAATCAACTTAGTAATTTAGAACTGAACAAATCTCATTTGATTATTACTTCTCCACCCCCCCCCCCCCTTTCTCTCTCATATGTCTACTTTGATTATCCACATTCTTTGTGTTATTCCTAAATTATGATATGATTTTAAAGTATTCTAAAACATATCTAATTTGAAATTGTTTTAAAGTAAATCATTTATCTCTGCTGAGTGAGAAATCTGCACTGATTTTGCAAGCTGGTCACTACTTAAAATCATTAATATAAATGCGGCATGGATTTTTTTACTTGGTTTTCTTCTGAAACGCTGAGGAGTCAACATGAGTTTGCCATTACTATTATTATTATTACAAAGAAAAAAAAACATATGTGAATTAGAAATTGCAACTAATGTTCAGAACACTGGTGAATTCAGCTAGCTAAAAAAGAAAACTCTCTTTTTCTGTGTGTGTGTGTATATATATATATATATATATATATATATATACACACACATTCCATTATTCATGGTCAGAGCTTTACTTTTATGCTTATTAATTATTAATTGATTATTAAATATTATTTATAATTGATGCTGAGACTGAGTTTTGCATAAAATTAAAGACACATGAGAGTGGAAAAGTTCACACAAATAATAGGAGAAGACAGACAGACAGATAGATAGATAGATAGATAGATAGATAGATAGATAGATCAGTCTGGAGCAAGCTATGCGCCTGCTTTTTATAGAATTCTAACATGATTAGAACTTTTGTTTAACTATTAGCCTATAATCAACATATTTGCATATTCTTATCTGAATTTGCAAACTGTTCATATTTAGCCTTGGTTAACAATATTTATTTTAATTAATCTTTATTAGCATTTGCAGATCCAGAAATTCAAGATTACTGCAATTTTGCTAAATTATTCAGGGATTCCTTTAGATACATAAACATTTCTATTATAAATATTTTTAAACTAATGCAATTTGTCTACTATAGTTACTATATTCGCAAAAACAATCTATTGTTCCATACACCATAGCTATTGCCTTGGAAGAGGTTAGCATGGCTTATCTAAAACTAGTCAAAAACTACATTTATACAAATATCTGACTGGTGAAAGTTGGTTCACCAAAGGCTGGTTGGTAGAAAGCCTAAGATTTGGTAATTCAGTACATTTTCTGTCTAAAAACATGTTAAACAGTCAATCACTAACAATAACATAATAAACAGAGCAGTAATTAAGTGGCATACAGTATGTTCTATATATTGTTTGCATGTTGTAAAAGATCAGAAATATACAATTATTTTGTTAGTTAAATTCTTCTACTTTGCTTAGATTTCCTATTTAGGAAAGGATTTGCATGGCTTTTGCTAACTTCGCATTAATTTGGTTGCATGCAGCTACTAATAACATAATATTTAGGGATTATGGTTAACAAGAAATAGTCTAATAATGAACACTTGGCAAATCTTGGACAATGCCCTTTGTCATTTTATTTGGAGATTATTTAAATAGACGAGTTTTAACTATGGTTCCTATGCTGAAGTCACTGAAAAATATATTTTGCAAGGACCTGACTACTTGATTATTGTACCAAGAAGAATCTGCAATTCTCAAAGATATTTTTTGGTACACTATAAGCTCCTAATAAGAGCGAAAACACACATCCTTATATCTTATGTGTTTGAATTGTTACATTCTGACATGATAAATGACTTGAATTGTTACATGCTGAGATGATCGATTATACTTTTTTCTCATCTGTGATCAGGACAGAGGCCATATTTACACAGAATTTAGGGCCGACTGCCCTTTATTATTTTGTAAACATTGTTGATAGAAACTTGGCAGAGTTTTGGCTTGTGTGACTTTTATGCTGTTGTGTAAATGATGAGAAAGAAAAATAAATATCTTTTCTGTGCTTTAGAAAATATCTTATATTGTTTTATGTCATCTAGAAGACAAACAATGTAATGATGTTATGATTGACTATTCCAGTTTCCAGGTAAGAGGCACATCATGAGTGACGATCAGAGTCTGTCCGAGGTTGAGATGAGCCCTGTTGGTTCTGAGGATCCCTCCTTAACACCTGAACCTTTGGCATCTCATTCCCACTCTGGCCCAGATGATGATGAAGAAGGAAAAGTGAAAAAAGAGCATGATTCTGAGGATGAAAGATTCCCTGTTTGCATTCGTGAAGCTGTCTCCCAGGTGTTAAGCGGTTATGACTGGACATTAGTTCCTATGCCAGTCAGGGTCAATGGTGGCAATAAGTCCAAACCTCATGTGAAGCGACCTATGAATGCTTTCATGGTATGGGCACAGGCTGCCCGTCGAAAGTTGGCTGACCAGTACCCACATCTCCACAATGCAGAGCTAAGCAAGACATTGGGCAAGCTTTGGAGGTATGGAATTTAAACTAATTCTGTATAGCACATATTCAGCAAACAAGTATAAAACTCAGTTATGTGCGTCATTTATCAAAAAGATTGTGTCAATTGTAATAGGGGTACAGTAAGAATTTTTTTGTAACTTTTTCCTGTGTAAAATTAGAGGTAGGACCCTGTGGACTGCATTGGTGCTACTAGCTATGTCCTTATATGAAAAAAAAAAACCTGATCTGAGAACATTATGGCACTCCTGCTCTCCATCTGAAAATATCAGTTGCCTGGCTGCCTCTGGCCCCAATCCAAGCATGGATCTGGTGAAATCAGAGGAAACTAGGGATTTTTGTTATGCATGTTCTGGGTTAGTGACTTGGACGTTCTTGAGACTTTGGATCACAATAACTGTCAGGAAGCTCTAGTAAACTTAAACAATTTCAGGAATAAAAGTGTTATTGCATTCCCCTTTCAGCAGTGTCTTACACTTCCATTCACTCTTTAATAACCATTAAATATATTTTTCTCTACAGGTTGCTAAATGAGAATGATAAGAGACCCTTCATAGAAGAAGCAGAAAGACTGAGAATGCAGCACAAGAAGGACCATCCAGATTATAAGTACCAGCCTCGTAGAAGGAAAAATGGAAAGCCCACATCAGGAGAGGGGGATGGATCCTCAGAAGCTGAAGGAGGTGCTGCCTCCATACAGGCTCATTACAAAAACTCACACCTGGACCATAGACATGGCTCCCCTATGTCTGATGGGAATTCGGAGCATTCAACAGGTAATGTAAACTGCAATCTAACATGTATGAAAATTTTAGAATAGCAGTAAATTAATGTTTTTGTTTTTTCTATAAGGTTTTTCTACTAATTTCTCACTCTTAATTCTGGCTATGTTATTTATTGGCAAGTAACTAAAAAAAATGTTTTTTATTATTTTAGGTCAAAGTCATGGTCCTCCCACTCCACCAACAACACCAAAAACAGAACTTCAGACAGGAAAATCTGAGGGCAAGAGGGATGGCTCCCGTTCTCTGGCAGAAGGAGGGAAACCCCACATTGATTTTGGCAATGTAGATATTGGAGAAATAAGCCATGATGTCATGTCCAACATGGAGACATTCGATGTCAATGAGTTTGACCAGTACCTTCCACCCAATGGTCATGCTGCACATGCAAGTCACATTGGGGGTTACACCTCCAGTTATGGTCTCAGTGGAGCTCTGGCTGCTGGTCCCTCTGCCTGGGCTCTTGCAAAACAACATGCTCCAACTGTGGCAGATTCAAAGGCTCAAGTGAAGACAGAAAGCTCAGCTACAAGCCATTATACTGAGCAACCTTCAACATCACAACTGACCTACACCTCGCTGGGGCTGCCTCACTATGGTTCAGCATTTCCATCTATCTCCAGGCCACAGTTTGACTACTCAGACCACCAACCATCAAGTTCCTATTACAGCCATTCAAGTCAAGCCTCTGGCCTCTATTCAGCATTCTCTTATATGGGCCCTCCTCAGCGTCCACTTTACACTGCAATCTCTGATCCTCCTAGTGTGGCTCCATCACATAGCCCAACACATTGGGAACAGCCAGTGTATACCACGCTGTCAAGACCATGAGAATTACTGAGATACAGACAAAGGAGGGACATCTCTCGGAGAGCAACATGCTCCGACGGGGTCCTCCCACAGCTCAAATCCCAGGTAGAATCCGGATTCCAAGAGCACCAGGAAACTGTAGCCGGTTTCTACGGGCCCCTGGGAAAGACAGAGACCAGGGAAAAATGGGTCTTTTCTCTGAAATAATATAAAGCTCCAGTGTAAAAATGGTGGGGTAGGATAGCAGGGCAATGCAGGGATGGGGGAAGGGAATAAAATTATACACCGATCATGAACTAGTGTCTCCCATTTAGGGAGGAAGCTGCAACATCTGACTTGGTAGTGGCTTTGATCTTGGGCGCCAGACTGGCTGGTAAAATTGACTATGTACAGCCATTGGCTGCAAAAGGCAAATTCCTATCTGAATGCAGCTTGACTTTTTTTATCCAGTTGACCGGGGCTGCTAACCTGTTTGAAATAAGGGATAGTCCAAGCAACATCAACCTAACATCTTGGGAATCAGAAGATTACTAGTTCCTCCTATTCACTTGTCCACAACAAAAGAAAAATGAAAATTAGCGTATGATGGAAAATTTGATACAGTTCTTGTTTTTATGTCTCCCAGTCCTGTCTGCATGGATGGTGAGCTAACAAAGCTGCATCTTAATAATCCTGAAGAACTAGAACAAGTGAAGGCAGGGAATTCCTACTTTAGTAGTAAACCACTCATTGTGCAGTGGACAGTGAAACAAGAGGACATCTATCTCCAACCTCTGGAGTTACTGTTGGGTGCAGTAAGATGGCCAACATTTGGCTTACATATTCATCCACAGTACTGTGCAATTCTCTATATTAGGAGTCTTGAAAAACAAGACAGCATTTTTATTTCATCAAAATAATATTGATGTGTCATGCATTTTGAAACAATATACTGTATATATTAACAAGACAAAATACACAGAAATCACGAGGTTTAAAGAAAGCAACACCCAGAGTATACATTCCTGTTTAATGCAATTCAGAACAATTATGCACACCATACCTGATTTGGTATGATGGGTTCTCAGGCAATATACAGAGGCAATGCAGATAAGTGCCAAACTGCAGAGAATTGCCAGCCTCCAGGAATGTCCTGTTAATATGAAATTTCACAACATTTCAAAGACATAGAGGGGGATTTACTATAACTGGTGCACATAGAATCTAGTGTATCTGTGTACGGTAACCAATCAGCTTTTAACTTCAGCTTGTTTGACAACAAAACCTAGAAGATGATAGGTTACTATGCACAGCTGCACCAGATTATTTGTGCACTAGTTTTAGTAAATCCCCCCCACAGAGTTCTACATTTTGATAAAGGCTCCGGTGTGTCTTTAAAATGTTGGTGATGAATTGCTCAAAAAACATAATACCTTCACAGGTATTTCCTGGAACACTTGCAATTTTTCAGAATTTAATTCCTGTTTGAATCTTCAGGTTACAACACTCTAACTGAAGTAAGCAAAGGTCAAGCATATTGGAAAAAAAAATAAAGATGAAATAATTACTCTTGCACAGTCAAACCTCAGACTTCATAGCCCCTCTGCAGAAGAACAGATATAGTGGCTGTCTACTTTTTGTAAAGGTGTTGTACACCACCAATTTTGTAAAATATAAACCCATCACTTTTGAATAGAGATAGGTGGAATTCATAAGAAATGTAACAGTTTGTGATCTATGGGATAGGACACACTATCCCCTGTTCATAAATATTTACTAAACCCTATGAAGTGAATGTCTTGGCTCTTACAAAAGGGGGTATGTACAATATCTTTAAATAAGTAACAAACCATTTAAGGTTTAAAATCTCTTCCTGTCTTCAGTCAGGAATCTTGTGTGGAAGTTTACATATTTTTTTAAGGTTTTAGAAATTTCAGTGATAGCCAAAAATGCTAACGGTCATAAATGTAATACTATTAGCCCTCTAGCAAAGGTGCCCTTAAACAACTTCTTATGAGTAGTGTGAACTTTTAAAAAATCAAAAATGTAAACAAATAAAAGAAATGTTTAAGTATGTTCTAACTATATGTTAAAAAAAAAAAAGATGATTAACATTGGAGATGCTACAGAAGCCATCACACATTGCAATGTTTGGCTGCTCATGTATTCGTAGGATATACAAAGTTCACACAATCCTGGTGGGAACCATCTCATTTTCCCGTTCAGACAAAACTATCTACTGACATTTCTCCTAACAAGATACTATGAAGTATGTTTATCAGGATGAAAAAAATGGAAGCAGTAAAGGCAATATGTAAATATAAAAATATATATCTATATATATATTTTTGTTTTTCACAGGTGTGACGAGGCAGGTGCTTTTATACCAAATAATGTCTCGATAGACTTTGGGTTTTTTAACATTTCTGTTTCAGTTTTGGGTTTATGATACAAAGAGGGACATAAACCCCTTAACTCATTTGGGAATTAGTGTTTTTGACACAAGTTTCTTAGCCCATTTGGAATTAAGTTTTTGATACTTTGTCCTTTGCCCAGAATAATCCTAGTGTATAAGAAAATTTGTCCCTTCCTCCATCAGTCTATTCAGCTACAGAAGGATTTGTTTTCAATGTCTGTCTTTTCTTTCTTATAATGTGTAATTGTATCTACCTTATTTATGTAAATATCGTACTTACCTATCCTGTTCTTCTGATTTGTCATTCTTTTAACTGTGCATAAAAACTTATTCAAGATAAAGATATGAAAAAATAAAAAAGTTAAGTTTTTCTGGTATGTTGAATGTATTATCCTACATACATTTGATTTACTTTTTATTTTTTTCTTGCCATAGGAACCTGAAGCACATCAGAATTGACATCAGGCACAGAACTTCCACCTCCCAGTGCCTTTGACAACAAAAATGAGATTGAGTGCCTAGTGGTGTCTACAAATTTGTATATTTGGGGTGGGGAATATGTTTAGTAACAAAACACTGCAACAATTCTGTATATAAAATGAAGATAGGGTAACACTGATTACTTCTAAGTGGATAGTGACATTCCTACGTGGTATGTAGGCAACAGAAGTGAAAATCTCTTTGACTAACAGTTACTATTCCCTAAAATTTGTATATTTACTTCATATCTCAGATGCTCACTATTGTCTTCTCTCAAAAAAGTGCAGCTAAGAAATTTGCGATAAGGGACATTATCTAATGATTTAGGGCTATTTCATGACATACATTGTAGTGGGAGGCAGGTCCTGGGATTCATACAAATTACCTGTATTAGAAAACAGAGGCATTCTTATAAAGACTTAAGTTCCATTAGACACAGAAAGCACGATAATTAATTATGTTTGGATTATCATATAAATAAAATTATAGCAATATGGATTATGTATAATAATAGGATAAACACTGACCCATGAAGCTAATCTGAAGGCAGAGACCTGTCCATAATGTTAGTTTATCTTTTTAAATATTTCAGATGTATTATGTACAGTATCTTGTTCTGTCACAACTGCCTTTGGAGGCAGCAGAAAATGTCCTCAATTTGCTTGCTGCTATGAAAGAACATTAAGCAGCTTTGTAATATTTAAACTATATCTAAAGTCACAGTTTTGGTTGTTTTGGATAAAACAGGAATAGGGGAAATCTTCCAGTATTATTATTATTATTATTATACAGTATTTATAAAGCACCAATAGTTCGCTCAGCGCTGTACACTTGTACTTGTTCCAGTAACAACTGTCTAAGAGCGCATTCTCCTACTTCGGATGGATTTCCCAACAAGGATTTTAACCATTCCCTGAAAAAAGAAAAGTTTGGCCTTGGATAAACATTAATTTCAGTTATTAAGAAAAATCCATATCCTGGTATAGGACTAAGCATAGAAGAAGATTGCTTTCTCACTAACATAGCCTGCACAAAGTGGGGCAATATTTACATCCCACAGCATTTTGGCAGTCTAGTTGTTCATGGACTAGGCAAAGCCATAGAGAATAAAGGCATTCTGCAATCTATTCTCAGAAAATCTACCCTGTTCTCTATGGCCAGGCCCAGTAAATTACTTTTTACTTGGCTCCTAGAACACCAACAGATATAAACACTACTCAACTGCAAGCCAAGGGAGCCCACTTTTCTGTATCTGAAGTTTGTAGCTCCTTTTTTGCAATCACAGTTTGATGAGGAAGTCTAAAAAGTTGTTTATTTTTTTTTAAACCAATGTTTAAACTTATCTAGGTATTTATGGAATGCATACATAGTCATAACGCACCATGTACAGCCCCCACAACAGTGACAAGCAAAAAAAAGAACATTTACCGCTGAGCACAATGGATACTTCAAGAGCATGTGCAAGTATATTCAAAAAGTCATTTTCCTACCCAGCCTTACATCATTAGATATGTGGGGTTAGGCTATATACTAAATATTGCTCAAATGTCTGTACTTACTCATTATAGAATAAAAAAAACATTTACATTAAAATACTTTAAGTAACAGAATCACTATAACCACTTTTCCTTTAGTCGTTTTAGTACGCATTAGTTTATGAATAGTTAGAATAGTCAGGGATTCAGTTGGTTAGAATATCAAAACCTAATAAAACATCTTTATAACATCCATTATTTCTTTTAGCCCAGGTTTTTACAATCAGAATATTAACAGAAGCAGAACATTGAGTGATGAGTGTGAGAGCTGTGAGACTGGTGGACTGGTGGCCCAAGACTGTATTATGGAGGACGTATGTGCCTGTCGGGGAATGGTGACATATATGTCAGTGTTAACACTTACATCTAAATTACTCCAGGTCAGCACACAGTTATTAACATTTCCTCTGTTAAATAAGTCAATATGAATGGCAGGTATACTGTACATGAATAGATGGTTGTTAAGGATATTGTACAGTAGTTTAGGAAGTTTAACGGGTTAAATATGGCTTCCCTTGAGCTCCCTCCCATTTCGACCCCTCCCCAGGACCAAACCAACAGTCTCCAGTTCCTCATGATCATATCATACAGCCAAGAAAACAAAGGCCCTA